GTTTAATGTTGCTGTTCTCCAAAATGAGTCACAAGCTGCAGAAGTGGGGCATTAATCCCAGAGGGGATGAGTAAGTGGGCAGGCTGGTCAAAGGAGCATCATAATTTAGACTTGAAGCTCTGCTCTTCCCGTGTATTAGCAATGGTTTCTGCTCTCTTTTGATAAAAATCAGAAATTTTCCACCAGCTCTTGGGAGTAAGAAAATATAATAACTTAAAAGTAAATGATGTCACCCTTGAAAGTAAGCAGCACATTGAGATTTACAGATTTTTTTTTTTTCAGTACATCTCACTCTGAGGCATCATTTGAGCTTTAACTTCTCCTCTTGCAGTCACACGTCCCCACATCCTGGCAGCTCGCCAGCCTGGCTCGTACTTGATGGAGCAATTTTGCCACCTTATTTTCAGAAGTGATTTCCAGGAGATGTTTTTGGGAAGCATTAGCCCCTGTCAATGCCCATGGTCACAGCTGGAATTCCTCAGGGAAGAACAACCTGGGGGTGTCATCCTTACCTTGTGCTACCAACTGAGTGCTGGATTTAATATGCAAAATGTGTGCTCAGCAATTGTAATTAAAGTCTGATAGAGGGGAAAAAATCGTTCAATATTTCCATCAGTTACAGTTAATGTTGCCATTGGTGTTTCTCAGGATCCAGCCTCCCTGTGCCAGAGCAAGGAGCAGCCTTGGACACCTCCACAGGTCCTTGGGAAGGGCTGGAGCTGTTATGAACCAGGGGTTGTTTCACACCCACTCCGTGTGGGTGGTGATGAACAACTTTGCTGCTGTGGTTCAAACAAGCCCTGAGTGTTTGGGAACAGAGAGAGGGAAGCAGAGAGATCCCTGAAATATGGAATGGTTTGGGTTGGAAGGGACCTTAAAGCTCATCCAGTTCCACCCCTGCCATGGCAGGGATGCTTTCCATCATCCCAGATTGCTCCAAGTCCCATCCAGCCTGGCCTTGGACACTTCCAGGGATGCAGGGGCAGCCACAGCTGCTCTGGGCACCCTGTGCCAGGGCCTGCCCATCCTCACAGTCAGGAATTCCTTCCCAATCTCCCACCTAATGCTCTGTCCGTTTACATCCATTCCTCCTTGTCCTGTCACTCCAAGACTTTGTCCAAAGTCCCTCTCCAGCTCTCCTGGAGTCCCTTTAGGCTCTGAGCTCTCCCTGGATCCTTCTCCTCTCCAGGTGAGCACCCCCAGTTCTCCCAGCCTGGCTCCAGAGGGGCTCCAGCCCTTGGAGCAGCTCCAGGGGCTCCTCTGGACTCGCTCCAGCAGTTCCACATCCTTCTTGTGCTCAGCCTCCTACACAACAGGAAAAATTCTGACTGTTGTGCCATTGAGAAGGTTTCCTTTCACTTCCATAATCCATCTAACCCCAGGAGACCTCACCACTCTCCCAGGAAGCTGCAGTTCCCTGCCAGGAGTGAGGCAGCAGAGCTGGCATTGCTTCAGCCTGCAGCAGCTCAGAGTGATGGGAGGAACCTGTCCTGGGTGAAGGGAAAGTGATTCTGGAGAACTGGGCATCAAAATGTTCCAAATGCTCAAAAACTGGAATGTCTGGCTACAGGCACAAAGCATTTCCTGGATCATGTTTGTGGCACTGAGATAAAATGGGCCGAGATGCCACCTGCACTCAATGGAGTCGATCATCCACAAAAATCTGGCAATTTTCTTTGCAAAGAGGAGACCTCAGAAACAAATGGGAAGGGTTTCCATCTTTCTGAGCTCCTGAAATGGTGCTTGGAGCAAATGATGTCACCAGTAAGAAGCTCTGGGAGCCCTGGAACCTTTCTGGGCACAGTGCCAGCATTCCTGACCATGGTCTTGGCACCAGAGAGCAGAGTGACCTCAGCTCCTGTCCTGCTGCCAGGAGCTGTCCCCAGGACAGGGAAATCAGGACATGCTGAAAGCCCTGGGTGACCTGAGGAAGCAGGATGACCACAGGGATGATGCCAAGGCTGTGCACACAGGGAACTCACAAACAAGGATTTCTCCTGTCAGCCATGAGCTCACCCGTTCAAAATGATGGAGGAGGAGGAGGAGCAGGGTGTATTGGTTGGTGAATTATGAGCTGCCAATGTTTTGGAGTCATAAAAGCAACTCCAAACTCTGGCTGCGTTGCTGAGATGTTCCCAGAAGAGTGTTCCAGCACAATGGGTTCCTGAGGAACAGCAGAGATCCTGTGTAGGGACAAGGCACCACACGTGGTACCTCCAGGCACAAGAGGAAACATTCCCAGAGCCTGAAGCAGGTTTCCTACGTGGCAGTGGAAGATCAGACACCTGAGGCCTCTCCAGCAGCATGGGAGCACCTCTGGAAAGGTTCTGGTGCTCCCACCCCTCTCCCCTGAGGAGCTCTGAGCCCTTGTCCCCTCTCTGATTTATCTCCTCAAGGTGTTCTGGGTGTGGGATGAATAAAGAGACTGCAGAGTGTTGTCTTGGTTCATGTCTCTCTTTTATTTATGAGCTCTAGCCCGGCTCAGATATTTATTACTATTCACCAAGAGGATCCAACAGCACTTATAGAGTCTAAATTACTTCCATTTATCTCAGCCCAGCAGTGGCTTCCACCCTCTCCAGAGCAGAGGCTGGTTACAACAGGAGATGCACCAACAGCAGGAGATGGAGCTGCTTCTATGGCAGGAAAATCCGGGAAAATTTTCATCATGGGAAGGGTGGTTTGGAGTCCCCATCCCTGGAGGTGTCCAAGGAATGATTAGATGTGACACTCAGTGCTCTGAGCTGGGGACAAAGTGTTGGACTTGATGATCCCAAAAATCTTTTCCAACCTCAATGATTCCATGATTCTCTATAAAGGTGAGGCTCCTGGCAAGAGCCAGCTGGGAACAATTTCTCCCCTCTTTAACTGATCACAGCCACGTCAGACAAACGAATGCTGAAGCTGGGTCAAGTAATTATTGCAGGTCCAGAGCTGTGCAGCTCTGGGGGCAGTGACAAGTGTGACAGCTGTAAATAAAACACAGCCACAGCGTGAGCAGCACTCGCTGAGGGCTCGAGCTGCAGTGCCAAGAAGAAAACAACTCAATGTTTATGACCAAGGGCTGCTTCCAAAAGCACTGGCTGTGTTCTTGTGTCCCTCTTTCTGCCCATTTCCATGATCTGCGGGATCACTCCAGCAGAAATGGCAATCCTAGACCTGCCAGGGTGAAAAATGGCCACAGGAAACAAGAGGCAAACAAGGAATGATGGTTTTATTTTGGGAAAAGGGCAGCTCGAGGAGGGAAAACAGGGAAAAAAAATGACCAGCTCTGAGCAGAGACACCAACAGGGAGCAAATGAGGAATGTTCAGCAGAGTCCAGGGGAAGCCTCGGTCAATACAGAGCCAGCAGGAGCCTGAGGAAGCAGAAAGGGAAGCACAAAGCACACAGGAATGGAAAAGAGAAGCACTCAGGAATTCCTTTTCTCCTTATCACTTGTCAGGCTGAGAAATGGTGGTGCCTGCCTTGGGCACCCGGGCTCTTGGGCTTCCCCCCTGCCTGAATAGCAATGTGGGAACTTGGAATTGCAGCTGCTCCCTGAATTCCCACTGGATTGGATCCACTGGAGAGGGGAAGGAGACCCTTGTGTCCTGTCAAACAGGGGACTCACAGCCCCGGATACCCCCAGGATTTTTGTCATTTCCCACCATGATAGGTGCCATGGGCAGGGACACCTTCCACTACCCCAGGTGGCTCCAAACCCTGTCCAACCTGGCCTGGGACATTTCCAGGAATCCAGGGGCAGCCACAGCTTCTCTGGGCACCCTGTGCCAGAGTCTCACCACCCTCCCAGCCAGGAATTGCTTCCTAATATCCCATTTAAATCTACTCTTTTCCAGCTTAAAGCCATTCCCTCTGTTCTGTCCCTCCATTCATCCCCAGTCCTTCTCCAGCTCTCCTGGAGCCCCTTTAGGCTCCGGAAGGGGCTCTGAGCTTTCCCTGGATCCTTCTCCTCTCCAGGTGAGCACCCCCAGCTCTCCCAGCCTGGCTCCAGCCCTTGGAGCATCTCCAGGTCCTTCTGACATTTGGGTCCCAGAGCTGGACACAGCCCAAAGCCATCACGGGTGGCACAGAGCATCTGCACCAAGGGGCAGCCCCAAATGCGTGCCCAGAGAGAGGGAAAGAAGAGATAATCCAGCAATTCCAAGCAATCCTATTTTTCCATTGGCTGCACGGGACCCGCTGTGCCGCTCTGTTGCCAGGAGAGTTTAAGACCTCAGCCGACCTTCCGAGCGAGCGGGGTTGAAAGCAAAGCCACGGGAACCCCTCGGGGCCCCCTGTCCTCGCTCTCCAGTGGCGGAGCGTGTCCCCACGGGGGCGTCCCAGGCTCAGGGACCGCGTCCCGCTGCCCACGCAGGGCAATCCCCGCACCAGCATCCCTGCGCTGCCGTCCACCGAGAGCCGGAGCATCACCGAGCGCGGCGCTTTTACCGCACGCGTGCGGCCGCTCTGATAATTACAGCTGCATCTCCATCACCGCATCCATCAGCGGATCCCTCGCACTGCCGAAGTCACCTCGTGCGGTCAGAGGGGAAACCGCAGGAGCGAGCCGGGATGCCGGGGAGGGGATGCTGCGGGTTGTCCGCGGGGCGGGCGGGAAGCGCGAGGATGTAGAGCCCGGGAAGCGAGGCAGGGAAGGGAAGAGGAGCGGGAAAAGCCGCGGGAATAGGAGCGGGAAGAGCCGCGGGAAGAGCCGCGGGCAGGGCCGGGCCGGGACCGGCGCTCTCCCCGCACCGACCCCGCAGCGGCGCCGCAGCCCCGAGCGCAGCCCCCGCAGCGGATGACTGACAGGCGGCTCAGCCAATCGCAGCGCGCAGCGCACCCCCGCGCCGGCGGACGGGCCAATAGCAAGGCTCGGGGGCGGGGCCCGGCGGCGCGCGCGGCGGGCGGGCGGCGGGCGGGCGGCAGTCGGCGCCGAGGCGCGGTGCGGTGCGGGTCGCTCCTCCGGCTCCTGCCGCGGCCGCCGCAGCCGCGCCGCCGCCCCTCCTTCCCTCCCTTATGGAAGAGATGGAAGAGGAGCTGAAATGCCCGGTGTGCGGCTCCTTTTACCGGGAGCCCATCATCCTGCCCTGCTCGCACAACCTGTGCCAGGCGTGCGCCCGCAACATCCTGGTGCAGACGCCAGACTCGGAGTCTCCGCAGAGCCGCCGCGCCTCGGGCTCGGCCGTCTCCGACTATGACTACCTGGACCTGGACAAGATGAGCCTGTACAGCGAGGCGGACAGCGGCTACGGCTCCTACGGGGGCTTCGCCAGCGCTCCCACCACGCCGTGCCAGAAGTCCCCGAACGGGGTCCGCGTGTTCCCGCCGGCCGCGCCGCCTCCCCCGGCCGCGCTGGCGCCGCCGCCGCCGCCGCGCAACGCGTGCCTGACGTGCCCGCAGTGCCACCGCAGCCTGGTGCTGGACGAGCGCGGGCTGCGGGGCTTCCCCCGCAACCGCCTGCTCGAGGGCGTCATCGACCGCTACCAGCAGGGCAGGGCGGCGGCCCTGCGGTGCCAGCTCTGCGAGAAGGCGCCCAAGGAGGCGGCCGTGATGTGCGAGCAGTGCGACGTGTTCTACTGCGACCCGTGCCGCCTGCGGTGCCACCCGCCGCGGGGACCGCTGGCCAAGCACCGCCTGGTGCCGCCGGCCCAAGGCCGCGTCAGCCGCCGGCTCAGCCCCCGCAAGATCTCCACCTGCACCGACCACGAGCTGGAGAACCACAGCATGTACTGCGTGCAGTGCAAGAGCCCCGTGTGCTACCAGTGCCTGGAGGAGGGCAAGCACTCCAGCCACGAGGTCAAGGCGCTGGGAGCCATGTGGAAGCTCCACAAGGTGAGCCCCGGCTTGTGCCGGCAGCCCCAGCCAAGCCGCTTTGCCCCGCACGTTCCATCAGCAGGGTGGGAGCGTCCCCATCCATCTTTATCCGTCCTCTCCCATTCCGTGTTGTGGCATCGCTTGGGAGGAGCGTGTCCCCTCGGCGTTGGCATCGTGCCGGTGATGCTCCCCGTTGGTCCCCAAATCTGACCCCACCAAAGGAGCTGGCAAAGGATCCCGGGGGTGGATCTGAGCTGGGAAAGCAACAGGGAGCGATGGTTTGGGGAGGAGGAGGAGGAGGAGGAGGAGGGAGGCGTGAAATGCACCGCGGGGACGTGGGAGCCGGGAGCCGTGGGGTGCCGGCTCCTGCCGCACACCGGGAGGAGGAGGAGGAGGATGAGGAGGAGGATGAGGAGGATGGATGGCAGCCTGGAGCCTGTCCCTGAATACTGATCAGCTCGCTCCGTGCTGGAGGAGAGGGTCCCAGCGCTTGTGGCCATCATCAGCTCCAGCTCCATCCCTCCTCCTCCTCCTCCTGCCCGCCTCCCTGCTCGCCCCAGCGGCCGCAGGAACTGGGGCAGAAGTGACTGGGACACGGGAGGACAGAGCACAGGGCATGGGCGTCTTTCCGCGGATGAACATCGGCATAATTGGCCCCCACTCCAACAAACTGGAGCAGGTGGGGGGGACCTGTGACAGGGAATGTGAGCTCCCAGTGGGCTGGATTGCTTTGCAGGAATATCTCGGGATGCTCTGGCAGGTTGTGTGGCTGCATGCGGTCCATGCAGGGTGCAGAGCTCTGGGCTGGAGTTCTGCACCCCGAATTGGGTCAGTGGGTGCATGCAGGGACAAGCTGTCACTTGTCACGATGCCCCAAAATGGGGTAACCACGTTATGCTGTGGGGAGCAGGGTTTGGTGATGCTTGTTGCTGTTGAAGGGGCTTTTCCTGACCCCCTTTTGCTGGGAGCAGGAAGAACTCCTCTCTGGATTTTCAGAGATGTGCCAGAGCAGTTTGGTGCCCTTGTCCCTATCCATGGGGTGCAGTCACTGATCCCAGAGTTGCTGGCAGCCAGCAGGAACATCCAGCTGGTGTGGGATGCCCGGGATCAGGATGGCACAGAAAACTGGGGACCTGAGCACAGGGAGGCACAGGATGGAGCCAGGCTCTTGTGCTGAGAAGCAACAGGCAGAGTTTGGAACGCAGAGAATTCCACCTGAAAGTGAGGGAGAACTTGGCTCAGGCCAGGTTGGAAAGGGCTTGGAGCATCCTGGACTAGTGGGAGGTGATGGAAGCAGGGTTGGAATAAAATGAGCTTTAGCTTTTCCTTCCAAATCCCTTTTCCCAGGGGAGAGCTTTAGCCAGGCGCTGTTTCATTGATGTAGCTGACAGATGTGGAGCTGTAACATTATTTCAAATTATGAATTTCATGCAGTTGCTCTGGGAGTTTTGGAAATTGGACAGTGAAGTCTCATCTGCCTTGAGAGGATTGTATTTCTGCAGGGGTTCACTGGTGTTACCTGGTGTTAGTTTGCTTTTTAGGGAGGGGAAGAGTCTGTGGAGTTAAATGTGGTGTTAAGGAGTAACTGAAAAAGTGATTTCAGGGCCAGAGCTCAGATTGCTCCTTGAGATGCCATCCAGCAAAATCAGGGGACAAAGTTATTTACCTTGAATTTTTTACACACAAAAAAATAAGTTAAAAATGAAATTAAAAAAAATCAATACCCACAATTTCCAGGCTTGATCCTGATTGGGACCAGGCATTAGGAACCAAACCACCTGTGGATTGGTGTGGTGATCCTCTTGCAAAAGTGTCTGGTGGTGTCATTTTTTGAGAGCACAGGCCCTTGGCAGTGGGATTTGCTGAAAGGGTGATTGTCCCTTTTTGCCTGATTTCTTCTGTGTGATGAGCAGTGTAATGATACCTACAGCTCACAGGAGGGAATTATGGAATGGTTTGGGTTGGAAGGGACCTTAAATCCTGTCCAGTCCCATTCCTGCCATGGGCAGGGACACTTTCCAATATCCCACTGACCTGTCCAGCCTGGCCTTGGACACTTCCAGTGATCCAGGGGCAGCCACAGCAAATCTGGGCACCCTGTGCCAGCCCTTCCCCACCCTCCCAGCCAGGAATTCCTTCCTAATATCCCATCTAAATCGACCCTCTTTTAATTTACACCCATCAGCCAGCTCCTGAATTTTCTTGCACCATTCCAGCACCTCCTGGTGTGAATATTCTTTGGGATGCTCTTCCCTCCTGACCCAGGGAGGCTGTGATTGTCCCCAGAGCCTGGCTGAGCTGTTGTTCCTGAAAGCAGCAGCGTTCACTCCTCAGTAGGTGATTGCCAGGCTCAGGGCAATCAATCCCTGGTAAATGCAGCCTGCTCCCCTTGGAACCAAATCCAAAGGGGATTTTCCCAGCCCTCTTTGGGAGCTGCCCCAATTTTCCCCTTTTCCCCCTCTGAGGTTCTCCCAGCTGATCATTTAAAATAATCTGTGCTGAGGCACAATCAATTGTCATTCAGAGAGCTGGGATTTCACAGATTGTGCAAATCCTCACTCTCCCTGTCTTCCTTTCAGTTGTTGAGAGCAGGGTAAATATTCAGAGAAACGTAGAGGGAAATGGGTTTTTAACCTGAATTGTCCCAGTTTTGCACAGATATTGCAGCTGTTTGGGTTTTTTTATCCTGACAGGCTGGAATGCTGCTTGGCATGCCAGAAGCAGGAGCACAAGATGGAGCTGAATCATTTATTCCTCACACATCCAAGTCCCTCTTGTCTTCTGCTGGAAGTGTGTGGAGAGTGCAGGCTCAGCAGCTTGGTGATGTGTTTGGATGGATGGATGGATGGATGGATGGATGGATGGATGGATGGATGTACAAATACACACTGGGAGGGATTTCCAGGGGCTCTGCTGTCTCCCTCAGCCCTGAAATCCCAGCCAGTTAATCAAACTCGGTCTTAAAATCATTCTGCTGTTGCTGGCACAGGTTAAAAAAGTCTCCCAGCAGTTGGTGGATTCTGGTAGCAGATTTTAAGCAGGTGAAAGTGTTCTGGGTTGGGAAATGGAGAGGCAGTGATGCAGAGCAGTTGTTCCTGCCTGTCACTCAAATACTGAGTTGTTACCCATCATTTTTGTTCCTGACTCTGCTCTTGAGTCCCTGGCATTTGTCACCTCGTGGCTGGACACCTCCCTGGGGGTGGGACACACCTGCAGGAGGCTGCTTTTGTCTTTGCCATGCACATCCCAACCGCAGCAAAGGTGAGCCTGGATTTGCCATGCACTAAAAAGAAGCTGGAGAGGTCAGGAGTGCCATGGTGAAAATCTTCCGCTGGTTTTGGGCTGTGCAGGAAGAAGCTTCCCTCTGCTTTGGGCTGGGATTGTGGGGCTTTGCCTCTTCTCTCCCCTCTCATCCACATTCTTTTTGTTTTCTGCATCCAGGGAAGGGCAGCAGAGCTGGGGAAAGCTCTGGAGCACAAGTCCAGTGAGGAGTGAGGGGGAGTCCCCATCCCTGGAGGGGTTTAAAAGCTGTGTGGATGTGGCACTTGGGGACATGGATCGGTGGTGCCTTGGGGGAAGGGTTGGACTCAGTGATTTTAAAGGGATTTTCCAACTCTAAATGATTCCAAGATTCTAAAGCAAGACTCTGAGTTGGAGCCACTCTCTCCTTGAGGAGGTCAGGCAGCATGTCCAGATCCTCTTGGAGAGAAGCAGAAACAAATCTTGACTTCAGTGGAAGGAAAACAGTGCTCTCCATTTTAATTTAACTGCCTGGCATGGGATTTCCCAGGCTGAAGACATGAACTGTCCTCAGATTGCAAATCCCTGCAGATGCCAGCCCAGCCCTGGGAATTTCCATGCTGTGGGACCATCACTGCTGCTCCCACATCACATCACATCTGTCCCAGCACAGATAGAATGAGGGATGCAGGTGATTCCTATTAATAACCAAAAATCACACACTTCATTCCACTATATATGGGACTTTTATTAACTATAGATATATCTATATATATCTATATATATCTATATATTTTATATCTAGCTATATATGGGACTGTTATTATCCCACTATAAATGGGACTTTATTCCAGCTGGTTTGGTCATATGGGGAGAACCAGGGATGGGAAAAACTGCAAGGGCCCCTCAGTTTGTGCCCAGGGGACACCAGAGCCAAGACAGGGATGAGCAGAGAGGATTTTCCCTTGGCTCACTTGGCCAGGGCTCTGTGTTGGCTGCCAGAGGAACTTTTGAGGGGAGGTTGGAACACTGGGAATGTGTCCATGGGAATTCCTGCAGCCCACAGCACTTGGGGAAGTATCCAAGGAGTTGCTGTAGGACCAAGATCTGTTTGCATTTGCAAAGTAAAATATTTGCTGTCTAAAGAGAAGCAGTGAGAATCCTTAATGTTTCCCAAGCCTTGGTGTGATGACCTTCCTGAATCCCATTTTCCAGCCTTTTTCCATCTTCAGCAGCAGGATCCATCCTTTCCTTCTCCAGCTATGCCCAGCAGCCTCCCCACCTCCTCCATTCCTCTGGGGCCAAATCCAGACGGTGCCAAACAGGCTGAGAGGCTCTGAAGTCAGAAAAAGCAAAGAAATGTCAGGATCTGGAGGAAAAATCTGATGAGGAGAGGCTGAGGGAGCTGGGAAGGGGCTGGAGAATTCCTGAGGGAGCTGGGAA